CGCTGAGCCAAACCGGTTAGGGCCATCATGGATGTTTCTATCTCTCTCTCCCACTCCCTTCTTCTCTCTGAAATCAAGAAAAAACGTATTTTTAAAAAGAAAGATTAGTTCAATGTAACAGTGTAACTAAGATGACCCCTATTACCACATACTACTTGTTATATAGTAAATTAGAACGTAATTTTATTCACACAGTAGGTAACTAGTAAGCACCTGCTGAATTGTACCATGTGGAGCCGTTTCGGCTTTGGAACAAGGAGAGTTACTGCCTAAGGAGCTAGAGTAGAGAGAAGGATTGCGTTGGAAAGCAGGGATCGGACTAGGGAGTGCTTTGCGTGCATTTCTCGCTTGTTTTAATTTGACTCCCAGGGTCGAGCCTGGACGGCTCTGGAATGGGAACCCTGTCACGTGGACAGCAGAGTCGGGTTTGGGGAGCTGGTTCCGATGGACTGAGCTGGGGGAGAGTATGCGCCCCCCTGCTCGGAGGGGGTTCTGTCTCCTTGTTCCCCTACATCAGATTACCTGCTTGTTTCTCTGTAATCTCATAAGTGGGACCCCTTTATGCTACCTGAGTCGTTGGATTTTTTGCATTTGCCTTAACAGAAATTCTAAAGGAATTTTTACGTTTTTGTATGTTGTTTTAAAGGGAATTCTACTGTTATTTTCTTGAACATCCCCATAGATTGTGCCTATTGTGAATTGTGACCATTCTGCAATATTATATGTGAGACTAGATGACATGGGAAATATTTTATTCATTTTCCCAGCTACCACATAACAGAACCTTTTCACCAACTTATAAAACTCAGGGGCCCTCATTTGAAATACTTTAGCGAATCTTTCTACTTGTGTATGGGGTTAAAAAGGTTAACTATTTCACACCTTCATTTTAGCAGTTATTAATTATCATTTACTGCAAAATATTTATCCGATTACCTTCTCAGGCTTCAATGTCGACCTGTGTGCAGGCAGCCAAGCAACTCCAGTTTCTCTGCCTCTGCTCTCCTCCCCTTGCTCCCAGCCCCGGGGTTGAAAGTCCTATTTTTAAGCCTGTTTCCTTTGAGTTATTTTCCTTCATATCTGTCACTTGCCTTTGACTGACAAGTTTGTCGAAGGCACCAGGGGGTCTTCATTGCGGAGCCCGCTAAACTTTAAAGGCTGGTTTCTCTCTTCAAAGGAATGGAGTCAAATGAATGATGGCCCCCCCAGGAGCCGGGGACTGTGGGGCTTGGCCACCTGGCAGGGCTCGGGCCTGTCTCCCTCCGGCCTGGAGGCCCAGGCCTCTCAAAACTGAAAGCTCCCTGCTGAGTGGCAGCCGCTGCCCCAGTGTTCGTCAGTGTGGACACCGAAGCAGGATTAAATGCAAATGGAAACGAGAACAGAGTTGAAGAAAGGAGGATGGCTTCTGGCAAATATATGGAGACATAGCACTTCATTAGTTTACAGAGGGATTCTTAATTGTCGAGAATATGAGTGGAGTATCCCCATATTGAAGAAGAATATGAATAGAGTATCCCCCATATTGAAGAAGAATATGAGTGGAATATCCCCCATATTGAAGAAGAATATGAGTGGAGTATCCCCCATATTGAAGAAGAATATGAGTGGAATATCCCCCATATTGAAGAAGAATATGAGTAGAGTATCCCCCATATTGAAGAAGAATATGAGTGGAATATCCCCCATATTGAAGAAGAATATGAGTGGAGTATCCCCCATATTGAAGAAGAATATGAGTGGAGTATCCCCCATACTGAAGAAGAATATGAGTGGAATATCCCCCATATTGAAGAAGAATATGAGTGGAGTATCCCCCATATTGAAGAAGAATATGAGTGGAGTATCCCCCATATTGAAGAAGAATATGAGTGGAATATCCCCCATATTGAAGAAGAATATGAGTAGAGTATCCCCCATATTGAAGAAGAATATGAGTGGAATATCCCCCATACTGAAGAAGAATATGAGTGGAATATCCCCATATTGAGGAAGAATATGAGCGGAGTACCCCCATATTGAAGAAGCTTTTTATTAATCCCAGAAGTCCACTGGGGTTCAGGTGCCTGATTTGGGAAGTCAGATATTCAACTATCTAATTGTAGAAGAATGGGATGGGATGCAGTGGATTCAATAATTATGAAGTGAAAGTGAGATAAAGGCAACTGTTCTGTTTATCTTTTGATGAAAATCCTGAAATTGGTGTTAATAATTTAGTGCTAGAAAGAATAAGAAATTGCTTTTAATGTCTCTAATAAAATTGAAAAAAGTTATTATTTATATCATATAGCTAAATTTCCCACATTGGTACTTATGGACTTTATGAATTTTTATGGTACTTGTACACTGGTTATTACATTTTCATTTATCACTACTACATTCCTACTTTCTAAGGTTGATAACTTGATTGTAAATAACAATAGCAAAAACTTAAGACCCAGATGGTCTTTTAGCATTACAGTTTATTTCACCATCTAAAAAGGCTGGAAGTTGACCTAAACGTTATGTTATCTAGAGACCATCCATCCCTTTCTAGCTTTGAGTTATGTTTGTTTTTCTATTTAATAATTTGTGTAATAAACATAGGTAATGAAAAGAAATAGACCTACTTTATTTAGCATTGTAGTCACTATTGATGTAGTAATATTTAACAAATGAATCATAAGAATTCAGGGCTCACAGTGTGATGTCTAAGATTATCATCAGTAAATATTAGCTAATTATATAAATGATTGTCTCCAGTGTTTTAACAAATAACAAGAATTGGATTGTGGAGAGACTCCTTCTCATGGACAGACTACCTGTTCCCTTCCTAATCTTGTGGGATGAAAGCTACGTTTTCTAACAGATAAACTTTACCATATTGATAATGAAATTGTCATATTGATAATGATAGTGAATATTGGTAATGAAATGTTTACATGTGAATATTGTATTGGCTATTTAAACAGATATGATTTTTATAATTTGTGATTTCTTTCTGAGACATTTCTGGAATGACTGGAAGGCATATTTGGGGGAAATAAAATAGTGACCATACTTGATTATTTGCTAGAAGTGAACACTTAGATCTGATGTTTAAAATTGCTTCATTGCATTTTTATAAGGATTATTCTCCTACCCTCAATTGTAAATTTTTAGAAAGAATTCTGTAAGCATGTTTCTTGACATTTTCTAATACTGTGAAATATCCACTAATAAGCCATCACTGTAAGTACATGCTTTCAAGTTTAAAATGTACTGGCACTCCAGCATCGTGCTACTTCCCACAAGCTGAAATCTCTATTAAAGTCATTTGTCAGATTTTCAGAAAGGGCGTCTCGTGACTGAAGTGGCACAAGGTTCCCATTGTAAGAACTCTGTACCCCTGAGGCCGGCCAGTGACATTGACCCTGAGAAGACATCATGCATGGATTTCACTGTTGCTTAATTTCACTTAAAAAAAAAAATTGAAACTGTACCTGTTTGTACATCTTTAAAAGTAAAACAAAAATTGGCTTGAAATAATAGGACAGGATATTTGCTTCTATTTTTTTTTTTTTTTAAAGCACCATGTACTAGGGAGATCATGCAAAGTCATTTAAATATTCACATTGGCAACTATAAATCTTTCGTGAGTTACTTGCAGCAATTGGATTGAGCTTATGCTTTATATATAAGTCTGATTTCTGAGAAATACGTACTCTGATTATTTCTGATCAGGTTGAAAGCTTACATTTGTATCGTGAGGGTAAATTAGTTATAGATTCTGTTTTATTGTGTTCAGTTGCATTGTTTCCATCAGGCTGTTTATCACATGGGTGCATGTGAAATTTCTCCATTTATTAAATTTTAGATTATGTATTTCAAGCCCGTGCAGGACTCTAAACATTTTTTTCCATACGTATACCTTCAGGTAAACAAGCAATTTTAGCCCCGAAAATAGCTTCTGCTTCTGTCAACACGCTGTTTATTCTTTCTCTGAGATAAAAAGTTCAGTTTTCTGATATTTGTACCAAGATAAAGTCAGTAAACAAGATTAATACAGTGTGGAAAAGGTTGTCAGCAGCCCTGGCAAAGGAAATAAGTTGCCTGTACATAGAACACACTGTAAACTGAATAAAAGTGTCAGGTCCACCAGGAGATAATGTGATCATGAACCCTTAACAAAGCATGACATGGGCCCGGCCGGCTTTTCTGGCAGCCACAGTGCGGAGAATGGATTACGGCATCCCAGGGATACCCGCTGGAGGAGCGTGAAAACCGCATTTGGAGACGAATGCGGGATGGAGCCCTGGAGAGGAGCCACATGTTGACCGGCGGTGCTCGGACCTCAGGGTTGTTAGTGTCCTTGACCGAGCACGTTTGCGATATTTGCATTTCTTGGGATTGCCGATGGTACGCTGGTGTCCTTGTTACCCAAGTGATCCAAGAAGAAGAACATATTTGAAAATGATAGTGTGTGTTTTTTCCTGCCTCAGCATGCCTTTTTTTAAGTCTATACTCTACATGGCACTTCTGTAGTTACAGGGGTATTGCATTTCTATTACCTCGGAGTATAGCAGGGCCTTTTGATGTAAGTTTCTGTCCTGTTGATTGTCATGGTGGGTTCATTCTTGCATGGTGTTGCTGATGCTCTCTTTGAGAGCCTTCTGTCAGGAGAGTTGTGAATTTATTTTTCCATGGGTGTAGGTTTCATTATGAAAATGCTTTTGAACCTTTCATTCTTTATCAGATTTGTAAAGAAAATACTGTTTTTTTAGGCATACATTTTGTTGTATGTAAATACACAGATAATTCCTAACTTTGTGGGAAAGCTTTAGAAAGTTTTGTATTTAGGAATGAATGACAAAGACATTGGTCTTGGGAATGCCCTTTGCTCTGTGAGATTTTGTTTGGATGTTGAGACTTATTATCAGATTGCCCACTCCAGAGCGGATGTCCTCAGGTGGACTTGTCTCTATACATCCCTGTCTTTCTAGAAATGCACCTGTGACTGTTTCCTGTTTGAATTCTCCTTGCAGGGGACCGCTCCGGGGCCAGTCAGTAACAAGAGGATGGTTCACTTCTCCCCGGATTCTCACCACCACGAGTGAGTGCCCGCTGACTGTACGCTGAGTGTAACCTCCTTGTTGGTGTTCTGCATCTCTCTTTGTGGAAACTGGTAGCCATTGCTGGTGAAGGCGGTTTAATTTGGTTCTATCTTAAGAGTCAATATCATAGACCCATGACAGGGATGCAACAACTATTTCAATGCATCCCATGGAGAAATTTAAATAAAGGTGTGTTTTTTTAGTACAGTCCTTCTTTTATTTGTGGTGGAATTGGAAATTCACGTGTTATCTGGAAACATTTAATTTCTGTTACGTGAAGTAGCATCAAGCTCTTCTCCTCCATTCTGTCTGACTTGCTAACATGAGGACCAAGTGACTTTTTCTCCCGACTTCTCCGCGCTCTGCTCTTGTCCAGAATCAGCTGTGAAGGACCGGAATGTATTTCCATTTAGCAACAAAAGGAGGCGACTCATTCACTACATAATTCAAAAAACTAAGCAATTGAGCTTTGACTGGGATGAATTATTGGGTAAATTTCTAGGTGCTAATTCTTTTTCTAAATACATCTTTGTTGGAAGAGCTTAAATACATTATATACTTTGGCTCAGTCCCATATGTCTCTTGTGGAGTTGGTTGAACTTGAGAAAGGCCATAAAGTATGGAAAGATATGAATTAATTATTGAATTTTTTCTGGCAGCCAATCATATTAGACCCATTGGATTCTATTTTTCAAATCCATTCTTTAATAAATATAAAATTTATAGTTCAGGTATAGCTTATTTTATATAGATTAATATAAGTATAATTTATGTGATGTAAAATGTTATTTATATAGATATAATTTTATATAGCTATTCATTTTAATAGCTTATTGCCTTCATTTTTATGATTCTACTAGAACAGTGGTTCTCAACCTTCCTAATTCCGCGACCCTTTAATACAGTTCCTCATGTTGTGGTGACCCCCAATTTCATTGTTACAAATTGAACATAATTAAAGCATAGTGATTAATCACAAAAACAATATGTAATTATATATGTGTTTTCCGATGGTCTTAGGTGACCCCTGTGAAAGGGTTGTTCAACCCCCAAAGGGATTGCGACCCACAGGTTGAGAACCGCTGTACTAGAGGCTTGGTGCATGAAATTCATGCAATGGAGGTGGGGGGCCCTCAGCCGGATTGCAAGAGGGCATAGGCCAGGCCAAGAGACCCCACCAGTGCATGTTCAGGGCCGAGGAGAGATGCAGGAAGTTGGCCAGCCAGGGAGGGACCACAGGAGGGTTCCAGGGCGTGTCGGACCCATCTCGCTCAGCCCCAATCAGCCAGACCCCAGCAGCAAGCTAACGTACCACTCGGAGTGTCTGCCCCCTGGTGGTTAGTGCACGTCATAGCAATTGGTCAACTGGTCAACTATCTGCCCCCCTGGTGATCAGTGCACGTCATAGCGAGTGGTTGAGCAGCCTTAGCATATCATTAGCATATTATGCTTTGATTGGTTGAACAGATGACTGGACAATTAGCATATTAGGCTTTTATTATATAGGATAAGACCTTTCTATTATCCCTTGAACAGAAGAGGGGAGGGTAAGCAGAGTAAAGCATTTATTATCTCAGAATGACAACCAAAAGACTCGTACATTTTATCCTTAATTTTTAGTTCTGATATAAACCCAAAACTCTAGCCAGTAGATTTAGAGTTTTTTAAACCACAGATGCCTTTGGTAACGACTGTGAAAACTCTGAGGGCAGATTGGTGCTGTACCTCTCTCTCACCTGTTACCCATGGCACAGTGCCGGGCAGACAGGAAGCATTACTGAGTGAACGGAGAGGTGAAAGTGTGAATGTAAAACAGGACATTGTGTATTTCATTTTAAGGCATTTCTGTGTAAGGTATGGGATATTTACCTGAGGGACTGTATGTACAATGACACTTTAAATGCACGTGGATATATCTACTTATAATCCTATGATGAACTCCTTTATAAAGCAAATAGCCTTTATTTTACCTTTTGTGTAAATATGGAGTTTGCTTAAAGCCAGATTTGCCTGGATCATAGGTTATGTTCACTGGGAATACTGTTACACTTTGAAATTTAGCATCTACTGCTATATAGCGAGAGTGGCTTGAACTTTATGTTGTGATACATCGATAAACTGGATCAGTTCCTCCTCTGATTGGCTGTGATTCCCTTGGGTGAGTGGTTTAGCTTGCATATGTCTTAATTTTTAGTTAGGGAATAAGGGTAATAACAGTCCTTTCTCCTCGCAGCCATTTTCACAAAATCCTTATGTAAATGCGGAACGGTTATTAAACTAGGTATAAACATTTCAAGATAAAGATGACGATGATGCTTTATTTGGTTAGCGCATTTTACTTTTCGAGTCTTTTCATAAGGGCCACTCTCCTCAGTGTATTTACTGCTTCTCTGAGGCAATCACAGCGATATAACATCCCCAATTTATACGTAATATGATTGTTCTAACGTCAAACACTGTCCTCCACCAAAAGTCAGCTAAAGAAACAAATGTCTTCAGCATCTATTTTATATTTGCTGGAATGTTCCACCTTTCGGTGGTGGTGGTGGGGGGGGGGGGGGTGTGACTGATAAATATTACCCATGGGCTTTGGCGTCTCTGATGACATTTAGGGATAAAAATTCCCCGAATGAAAGTTCGCCTATTATTCTGCTCAAAGTGTACAGTGGGGAAGAAAATTAGTATTTAAACCACTATTCTGTGCCAGATTCTTGGTCCCATTTAAGCCTCCCTGTACTGTAAGGGAGGCGGGATGAATTTGATTTCCTGAATGTCAAGCTCTGTCCCTGGACATGCCCACACCGGCCCTGTACCACGGGGGGACTGAGCTTGGGGACCACGGAAGGTGGTGAGGTTGGGATGAGATAACCCATGTGTGACCTTGAGCCTGGTACCCAGCACACAGCTAACATTTCCTGGCCGGTGGTGTCATGAGCCTGGAACGAATGGGTTCAGGTACGTTCAGCTGATGCTCCCAAATCCACATCAAGGGCTTTGTGGAGCATAGCCGGGCGATGTCAGATTCTTTTTTATTTTTTAATGTTTTTTAAGACTCCCACCAATCCAGAGGTCATCATTTGTTGTAATGATGCCATAATTAAGTTGTGGTAAATGATAGCATTTGTAGATTTTACAACCAGAATTGATTCATAAAATGAATACAGTCCCAGCAGTTTATGTTAACATAATTAAATGGAAATTTAATTCTAACTGAGTTTGCTTATTAAATTGAAAATTACTGGGTTGTGAGCACTCTTACATTTCTGTCCAAATTGCTGTAAGTCTAGAATTACATGAACTATCCATTAGAATAAAGCCTATTCCAGGCGCTGTGGCTGGCGGCGCATACATTTCCCACAGCCTGCAGCCTGGTGGCGGGGGACCACGCACTTTGGGTCAGGTTCATGCTAACCCCTCTCCTCTCTCCTCCGCAGCCACTGGTTCAGCCCCGGGGCCAGGACCGAGCACGGCCAGGTAAGGACCATTCCCATCCAAAGGAAGCTGCTTGGTCTCCTTCAAATACTTAACTGTTTCCCTTCAGGGTGGTAGATCGGCTTTACGAGAAAAAAATATAAATCTCAGCTTAAGAGGAATTAATTGTGTCCTCGCTTAATACACAGACCGCGTGAACGATCCTCGGTGAGCACTGAGTTCACCACTGCCACCGTCCTCAGTCACACCTGTTTCCTCTGTGAAAAGACTCTGGGGTTATCTTTGTGTTTTTCTGCAAAGTTAAGGCACCAAATAGTCCATATGTTTAAGTAATTTGAGGTTCTTTAAATGAGATCAGCCAGCAAGAGGATATTTTTGTCCCTGCCCTTTAGAAGGTGGCAATAGTTTCCTACACGTTACGTTATATTTCTGGATGTGTGTTTTATTTACTCTCTTATTCGTCCACCTGGCAGTACAGTGGTCAGTTGACTTAGCCAGAACTGACGTTCCCTTTAGTTAACTTTACACATAAAGTTAGTTCTCTGCGGCATGCTAAGGTAGTTTAGGGCTTACAGTTTTTATGTGTTTTATAAAGCATAGATATCTTAGACTTGGCATCGTGGCCAAGCTTTTTCTTTCTTTTTTTGTTATTGATGATAAACTTATTATTTAAGTGGGTCAAAAATATGGTATGTAAGGAGTACATGGGAACGAAAAACCCCAAATCCACGGAGATCGTTTCTCCTGAGGGTTTGGTAAGTAGTAGGGCGGAGGTAGAGGGGCTGGGCTTGGCAATGATAATTGGAAACATTACTGTATTGACCAGGAAACAATAACCACAGGATGATGATAGATGCTTGGGAGAACCACAGAGGGTGCTGTACACCCTCTAAGGGCCACAGAGGAAAGATGTAGCTTACTGAGTCAGAGCATAGTTTAGAAGTTGCTGAGTTCTCCTTTTTAAGGCTGAGGACAGTGAGATGCCGGCTATGAGGAGGCTTGAGGTTATTTTGCAGACATCTGAGGAGTTACCTGACAAGTGGCTGCCAATATAACCCCCCCAAGCATTCTGAATATCAGGTAGTAAAGAGAGGTTTGCAGTGGAGTAAGAATTCTGCTCTTGGCTTCTTCCTTTCCTGTTAGGGATTTGACTCTTTTTGGAATCTTGTAAAAATATCATGAGTAACCACAGCAACTCCTTGCCCCCTGTCTATAAGAGTAACAACCATGATCCCCAAGGAACACGTCTCTTCCTGGTTTTATTCACCAACTTTTAAAATTGTGTTGCTTGCCCAGCCGGTGTGGCTCAGGGGTTGAGAGCTGAGCTATGAACCAGGAGGTCACAGTTCGATTCCCAGTCATGGCACATGCCCAAGTTGCGGGCTCGATCCTCAGCCAATGGATGATTCTTTCTTATCACTGATGTTTCTATCTCTCTCTCCCTCTTCCTTCCTCTCTGAAATCAATAAAATATTTAAAAAATAAGTAAATAAAATTGTATCCCTTTTGTGAACCTCACATTGTACTAGGCTCTGTGCTTATGAATTTTAATGTAATTCTTATGTGAGTCCTTTTTCAATATACACCTGCAGGTCACTAATAAGGGGCTTGTGTCTCCGTTTGGCCTAAGTCCAGCAATCTGAAAGTTGGAAGGTAAGAAGCACTTCGCACCATATTCAGAAATTCTGTTCGTAATCAGAGTTGACACTGTTGAGTCAGAACCTGAAAAGGGACCTCACTTGTGACACGGATAGGAGTTCAAGCAAACAAGACAATTACCAGGAAGAAGGACACGTTTCTCCAGGCCGAATGCCTGCCTGAGCTTGCTCACCGGAGCACAGCTCAAGGATTCTTGTCTCTGACCCTGAACTCCTGACCTGACCCACCCGCCCCCGTTTTCATTCTGTGGGCGTGGCATACACCTGCTGGGGCTCTTTCAGATATAAATATATGCTTTTTTTACATTCGGGCAATACTCTGGGTTAATTTTTTCACCGTTGCCCCTTAAAAGATATAAGTTCCCATCTTAATTTGTTACATTCATGACCCAAAGATCCAAGTCTATCTTTTTTACCTGAGTTTGATTGTAAATTTGCAGTTACACCCAGATTTATAATTTTAGTGATAAAGTGAGAGTTTTGTGATGGATGCCTAGTACAGGTGCATTGTATTAAATAATTCCAATATTTGTCCCTTTTTATAACTAAAGCCCATGGAAGCCAAAGATGTGAGGAAGGAAAGAAATCCCCATATGAATCTAATAGAAGGAGCCCCAATGTTGGAGTTCATAGAGGTGCTGTTTCATTTAAGTTCCCCAAGGGGGTCCCTCTGAGTACTAGCCAACCCCGTAGCCAAACCACGATATTTATTTTGGTCACTGTAGTCACATTTTTTAAAAACTAAACTATAGAATTCTCTTCTTCTCTCAGAATATTGTGTTAGGGATTTTGAGTTCTTTGTTTTAATTGATTTAACACAAACCTCAAGTATAGAGTTCATATATCTGTCTTTTATCTTAAAATTAGAAAAGTTAACTACTACCATTAATTTAAGGTGGAGGGAGAGATTTCATCATGCCACCTCTAGCTATCTGTGTCACAAATGTTGGTTTGTATATACACATATATATATTTTTTAAAAGACACTAGACTTAGAAATGCCAAAGTAATTAACTTCTTTTTTTAACTTTCAGAAACAATTTCGTTTCCATGGTACGAAGTGTTTCGAAATGGAAACACTTTCAGATTAATGGACTTAAGATAAATGGTTGCTCTTTTCTCTAAGTAGTAAATGATGAGATGCGGCTTCAGCTACATATCAGATACAGGATCTCCCTCCCTACTTCCTTATCTCATTTATTTATTTATTCAACAAATATATATTGAGCAATAGAAAGAATCCAGACACGTTGCTGGACCTTGGCTATGAGGCAGATCGAATAACGGAAGCAAAGGGCGAAAGGGAGCAAGAACGTGATCCACTGCCCAAACTAAGTGTTCAGTGTGGCTGGGATATTTATTGTAGAAGTAAGGAGGTGAGGTTGGGGGGAGGAGGAAGTGTAATACATGACGAGTCTAGGAATGTAATTGAATGGTGAAGGGTCGCGAATGCCTTGTACAAGAATGTGGGGCTTATCTGGAGAGACTGTGGAATCAGACCTCAGTTTGGAATTCCTGGCTGCAGAGGGAGAATGGATGAGTTGGGGGCAGGGAGGCGCTTGGGAGGCTGTTACCAGGGAGAGGAAACGGTGTCTGGACCAGGTTGGTGGTTGTGGGCTGGAAGAAGTCTATATTTAAGAGAAATTTAATATGCACTTATTTAGTGAAGACAGTCCTGAAAGAAGGAAAGATATAACTGTATTCTTGGTGATCTAATTAAGGTCCATACCTTCTCCAAGACGACCATATGCTGCTACTAACTGATTCTGAACGATGCCGTGGGACAGTTCAAAGCAGTTCTTTTATTAAGTCATTGATGCTGGTCAGACAATGCCCACTGACAAGCAGGCTCATTAATGATCATCGTAATTGTCGCGTTTGAACCATTTTCTCAGCACGTCTAATGGTCATAGAGCTACGGGTCTCACGTGGTTTATTTAACAGAGCAGCCTTCCAGGTAGATGTTATTGTTATCTCCGTTTTATAGATGGAGACTGGGACTTAGAGAGGTTAAGTCCTCTGCCTGAGGTCAACACAGCCTGTAAGTGGTAGGCCTTTCACTGCCACTCGGAGACGTGTGACAGGCACAACAGGCATTGGAAACCCGCTCTGCCCTGTGTTATTCCTCCTAAGATTTCTTTTTGTTGCTGTTGGTTTCTAACAGGGGTACAGCTTCTGTTTAGCTGTATCATCATTTCTGAGTGAACCCACAGTAAAGAGGATTGACTCTTTTGCTTCTTTTCAAATAGTTAAAGTAAGTGTGAGAGGGTAGTGGATGGTGAGGCATTCTGAGATGGCAGTCAAGTATATATTCCTTCTAGTTATCTATTCTAAAGCCAATAATATCTTTGAAAACACAATGTGTTCAGTGTATTTCCTTGTTAGGCCAGTAAATACAGAGAAGATGATATGTCATTTACGTCGGCCTAGGTGGCAAAGCCTCAGATAGGTCCGAGTTGGTGCAGCGGTGGAGGCCGTGGGCAGAGGTTCCCCGACTCCCACCAGGACTGCAACCAAGAACAGGGCTGGAACTGAGTCCTAGACCTCCAGCTCGGGGCCCTCAGGGAAGCCCCCGATCGCCAGCTCTGAGGGACATTTCCGCAAGGGTCTTGGTGGCATCTTCAGCCGCAGCAGTAGTCTCTGTTTATGAGAAGTCAGTAAGGAAAAAAAGCGATGCAAGTGAAGGAAGAGTTCCCTGTGAATGAGAACACTTTTCCGCTCACAAAATAATACAGTGAACACGTTTCTCTGTCTACAACTTTGTCTTAACTCTTTGGACAGCATCAGCTTCTGAGAGACAGCCGAGCCGAGAGAGGACACAAGAAAAACTGCTCTGTGAAGACGGCCAGCAGGTAGGCAACTCAAAACCACGCTCGCTCTGATCTCTGACGCGCCTGCCCTTGTTCCCAGGCCAGTGGCATGCCCGCGGTGAGGGGGGTCAGCTTGCCTTTGGTTCTAAAGAGCCAACTTAAAATATTTTGTGTGCCGTTTATAAGACTATATTTTAGGATTACTAAAATGCCATGAATAGAAAGATGCCATTTCGTGTTTATTTTTATTTATTTATTATTATTTTTTAAAATATATTTTATTGATTTTTTACAGAGAGGAAGGGAAAGGGATAGAGAGTTAGAAACATCTATGGGAGAGAAACATCAATTCATCTGCCTCCTGCACACTCCCCACTGGGGATGTGCCCGCAGCCAAGGTACATGCCCTTGACCGGAATCGAACCTGGGACCCTTCATTCTGCAGGCCGACGCTCTATCCACTGAGCCAAACCGGTTAGGGCTTGTGTTTATTTTTAAAAGGTGATGAAAAACAAAGACTAAGATTTAAAAAGAAAGGAAAATTTCTATCTCCCACAACTAATGGATTTTAGATTGGGGTTTAGAATAATTATTTTCTTTTTAATTTTCAAAAGTAGAGTTAACTGGTTTCAAAAAATGTAAATGGTACTTAGACTCCATGAGAAAGCAACATACTTATTTATTCTTATAATATGTAACCGGGTATATAGAAAATATATTCTTTTAAAAAAGTGCTTCTAGGTTCTTGTACATTTTCTATTACCGAGTCGATGTTCTTTTTTTTTCTTTAATGCAAAGAATTTGCCCCAGTTTATTGCTTTAGGTGCTATAGCTTCAAAGTTCACATGTGGTGATTCTGAAGACTGAATTTTCATTTAGATAAAAATGGCTGTCATAATCCCGAGCAGAACAAAATAACAGACCTCAGCAGCCACTGTTGCATCCCATAGCTCCCCATGGCTCGTGTGTTAGCCACGATGTTCAGATCCCCACGCAGGCACCATCGCTTTCAAACACCATGTTGTACAAGCTAACCCAGCTGAGAACCCATTAGATACCTGTCGAAGCAAAATGTCAATTCTATCTTACAGACCTAATGCTTCAACAGCAAACGGAGTTGGACATCCGGGACAGTCAACATAAAACCAATATATTTATCCCAAAGAATATCAGATCCTTTTGCTCTGCCCTTACCTCATTAGAAATACAATTAAATAATTTCACCTTGTTTCTTGGGTCATAACCTTTGCTGAGACCAGAACGTTCAGTGTGGCCTTCCCCAATTGGAAGTCAGCACCACATGTACTGAGCGATGCCCAATACTAAGTGGTGTAATGTTCGTAACACATTTTAATGTTTAGTGCCTAATAATTGGCTTTATTGTTCTAAGAATCCACACAGAAAGACTGACAGTGCACAGCAATTGTGCTGAATCACGCAGATCACGTTAGGGCCTTCCCTTTTGTGTTGGGTTCTGTTTTGGGGTGTGTTTCTTTGGGGGGGGATTTGCCCTTCTTCCTGACTTACATGATTTTTGCCTTTTACTATTGGGAAGCACAGAGGCTAAATCATCTTAGTAAGTAGCCTGATACATAATCTGAAATCAAATAAAAACCTTTTTACATTTTTATTGACATTATTATTACCTTCTACTAAACATTTTAAAATGCGTTTTAGAAACCTGTGTTAATTCGTTTTACTTTGTTCTTACGAGCATTACATTTTTCATCTACTTAGTGTGAAAAGATTTGATAATCCCTGGAATTATGTGTGCTACAGTTTCTTCAGTCCGAAGGCCGATGCTCAATCCACTGAGCCAAACTGGTCAGGGCTACAGTTTCTTATATACTTTTTCTTTGCTGTCATCATGTCTGACTAGTAGTGAAAAGTCTTCTAAATTTTTTTAAATGACAATAGATTTCATCAGAGAATCAAAACAAATGCCATCACATTCACACACACATACATATATTCACACACGCTCATACACATTCACTCAACACATTTACACACACACAGTCACAAACTCACAATCACACACTCTCACACACAGTTACACACACACTCACAGTCACAAACTCACAATCACAAACTCTCACACACAGTTACACACACACTCACAGTCACAAACTCACAATCACACACTCTCACACACAGTTACACACACACTCACAGTCACAAACTCACAATCACACACTCTCACACACAGTTACACACACACACTCAGTTTGGAAAGAACATTTCTGTTCGCACTGACACAGCTCGCTCATTTCCATATGATGACAACATCACTGTATTCTGTTGCAGATGTAACAAATACAATTACAGCTGTTCTTTATTTGATCTTCCAAAGACCCAGAGATGCTGGAGGATTCAGTTTGCTCAGTGCTCCCCATAGAGTCATCTGTTATTTGGGAAGGAGACCTAATTTGCAATAGATACAAAACTATTTGTCATTTTGCAGCTTTGCCAAAAATAAATGAAACTATTAATTACTGCATTTTTGAGCAGCTGCTAATAAATTGGGAGAGGATAACTGTTCATTAGAGTTCTGGTTAATGACATGGACGAATGTGCTCCGTGCTGCTTTTCACAGGCCTATATCAACAGAAGTAACTGATGCATTATTTCTATTATTTAAGATGAGAAGTTAACTATCCTGTGTTAATAAATTTAGAAATTTTAACAAATCCTTTGTTGTACTAAAACTAATGATTCAACACCATATTTTAAAGCATCAACTTTATTTATTTTGTGTATTTTGTGTTTATATGTCCAAAATAATTGTTGAATCTGCTTTTAAATACTAATTTTAAAAATTAAACTTCTACTATTTTATCATTGTTTCTTTCCGTACCTAAAATTAGCATTAAATTTCACTGTTCTAAAAAAGTTTACCCAGTCCTTCAGATAGAAAAGCATATTTTAAATTATTTTAATTCACCCATATGTATGCATGAATGAACAAATAGAAAGTCACATACTCCCTCTAATTAGAATGTATACATTCCATATTTTTTTAATTGGAACACATTTAATTGCATATGAGTTCTAATTTTTTTTAAAATTTGAATAGCCTCTAGGTGTAGAGGTACTTAGACTAGAATAATTGGAAACATACCACATATACAACATAAAATGGTTTCCAAGGCATTTGATTCATCTGTTTTACTCCATGTGACCAAATTATCGTTGTAAGAAGGACACATTCTCCCATTGCCGGCTCTCAGGCCTGCTGTCCGTTTGGCATCCTGAAATTCTAACCTCCCCTGCCGGAACTTTAAACTAATGATTATAGACTTATTTTACATTGTGATCACACTAAATAAAATTAGTGATTAGCCAATTAGAATTCTGCGAGCTTGCCTTCCGTGTGATATGAATAGCCCATACGGAAAAGGGGATTTGCCATTTGAAAACATGTCACGTGTCCGGAGTGTGGTGAATAAAAGAGCAATGGAGCACTCCCTGGGGAGGCACTCTTCCGAGATCTGGCAGATGAACTCGGCTTTTCAGATGACGAACATACGCACAGCTGGGCCCCTCCAGAACAGCAGTTGCATTTGGCCATCGTCGCTAATATGGAACACAGTCAGCATCTGAAAGGTGTTCCCGTGACCTGTAGCTGCCATAGATTTGTCGTCTGAAGCCCATCTCCGTAAGGACAGGTGTCTGTTCCGCGGTTGGCACGCTCCGAATTGGTGCTGTGATTAAACGGGCGTGCGCACAGAGGTCACCTTTCATGCCCTGAGACGGATCCCCTGGGACTCCGGGAGGTGCACCTGCAGGGCCGGGCGCAGCAGGTTGCGGCCCCGCCGCTGCCGGGGTATAATTTCATTACGGGACATCTGGGTCCCTGGTCATCCAGTGGGCGTGCGTGCCAAATACTCCCCCAAACAACAGGCATCCTAATCTATTAGTAAAGGGATTGCTGTAAAAATTAATATTTTAAATCGGCCACTCAAGAAGCAGCTGCTGCTACCTGATCATCTGTACCTTAAGGTCCCCGGACTAAATCTAGTAAGTTCATCTGCCACATTGTAGACACTTCCAATCTGTAGAGCAGAACATGTCACCTCCTAGACTCAGAGATGTGTAACTGCTCATAATATAACAAGAGTCATCCTGCAAACTAAAAAGTTTAACGCAGTAGTGTAATTAGAACCTTTTAATGTTATAGTTCATAATTGAAAAAAATTCAAATATTGAACTTTTAGTTGTCACTTGTTTTAGCTCATTTTCATTATCTTTCAATTAGGAGACAATTTAAAACTTAACTTAAAAATCACAAAAGAATGTCCCAGAGAGTTAGAAATACGTTTTGAAAAGAATCCATTTTTTATGATCAGTATTTTTCTTGTTCTTTCTCTTTAGAAACATGTTTTCATCACTCTGTAGTGATTTGTTTGTATACCAAGATATTGTTGGGAATTTACTTTTGCTTATTTCATATACTTCTGATCAATTCCAGCTCATGCCCAATTATATTACACTAAATTAACATAATTCAACAGATGTTGATATTTAAATGTTTTCTGGCATTCACATCTTGGACAGCTGTCTTTGAGCTTGGGGAAAAGGCAAACATTTAGAGTTAAATGCTGAACATATGCTTAAATTACTAATTAGAAAGATGGAATAAAAACTATGCATTATCCTTTCTAAGGACAATAAAGCTCAGATAGGGATTTCTGTAATCTTTTTACATCAAGTTATAGTCCAGGGTATCTACAGACCAGAAGACGTAGACTTCACGGTTAACTTAATTTCAGTTCTCATCATTCAAAAATTACTGAGAGCCTCAATAAGACTTGAAAAACCTATAATGACTTTACATTGTCAGTCTTACGAGTTGAAAAGATGCCTTTTCACTTATGATGTCAGGATGATAAAAGCCATTTTTAACAATACTATTAAAATTTTCATCATGCAGAAATAGAGAAAAATAGAAACTCAATGGATACATCCCTAGCTTAGATATTTATCAATGTGTGGCCACTGGTGATTCATTTATATCCCTACCCATTCCTTCCTCTTACCCC